TTTACTATTACTATTATTACTATTACTATTATTATTATAATTATTATTATAGTTTTATAATGACATACATACCAAACTCAACATTTAGTGTCCAATTGTTTAAGTACCGGGAATTGTGGGGCGTGAGGAATACACGAGTGGATTGGCAAGCGGGCGCTGGTAAGGAGTTAGCCGCCAATCTAACGTTAAAATTAGGGCAACACGTTTCGACAAAAGACGTAAGGAAAAAGACCAAGTCCATTAAAATGCGACTTAGGATACTAGACAGACAAGACACGAGAGTACGATCGGACATGGACGCGTTTTTATGGTACGCGGTAGAGTTAGGGCTGCGTCGAGCAACCGACAGACTGACTAAGCAACTGATAGCGGGCCGAAAAATGCCAGTAGAAGTAGATAGAAATTCGGAGGACTTAGCAATAGACCACGGACAGGACAGAAATTCAGAGGACTTAGCAGTAGACCACGGACAGGACAGAAATTCAGAGGACTTGGCAGTAGACCACGGACAGGCTAATATGCGAAGCCCCGCTAATTTAGGTATTGCAGATAAGGTTAGTATAGACGAAGACAACTACGAAGACGATGGGCCATCAACTTCAGCCCAGGCAGCAGAACCTAGATCCCAAAAACGGCGCCATGCTGACCTGCCAATGATGCAAGAGGCAGCAACAGCAAAACGACGTCATCTCAACTCACCAAAGGACACAACATTCAACTCACCAAAGGACACAACATTCAACCTGCCAGAGGACGCAGCATTCAACCTGCCAGAGAACGAAATACTGCCGGATTTCGTAGGGCTACGAAAGGTGGTAGCAAGATTAACCCCTCAAGACAAAGTAGTCGTGTTAACCTTCGACGAAATATTTACAAAACCAGAAACGACGTATTCGGAAGCAGAAGACAGGCTACATGGGTGCTGCTACAATGAAGAAAGAGAAGCAGGCGAAATACATAGGTTTCTTCTATTCGGAGTGCGTAGCATATTGACGGCGTTTAATATGCTACTCGGCGTACATGGATTTATCCAATACTGCGGGGCCAAACGTATTCTACACGAATATATCAATATATCATTACTAAAAGGTATAGGCCTGGACGTAAGGGGAATCGTGTGCCATAGATCCGGTGCGCACAAATCAACACTCCGAGGGTTTGAAACCGGAGTGTGCGTTAAAAAAGCAAGTGATGGAACGCGGTACAAGGTACGCCTCTTGCATGATTATATACATTTAATTATGAGTTTCCACAGAATTGTGGAAAAAACCCAACAAACTACAATATAAAAATTTTAGCCGAGCTAAAAAACAATTATTTAAATGACGAAAACTTAGCCAAATGCAACTTCTGGCTAAATAAAGGAGTTTTTCCGTCGATCGTCGTACCGTTCTCCCGGTATACCGAAGATGTCATAGCATTCTACGATAACATCACGCCATAGTCTTTAAAATCGGCTATAGACGCAAAGACCACAGGCGGCCCCAAGGTAATAAAAACATATAAATTTATTAGTGCGATGACCAAGTTTACCAAAGTTTTCCACTGGGACAAACTAAATAAGGATACTTGGCAGCACAATAAAAAAGATTTAATGGATGAAATGAATTATATGAAGAAGGAGCACAAGATGGCGGAGGTAGCGGCGGCAATCTGAATAACAACAATCAACTTCATCAAGTTAGTGGAAGAGCAGCTGCGGGCTTACCCTGGCATATCAATTTCAGGGTACAGGATAAGCCAGGACTTATTGTAGCGATTCATATGTAATATGGCGCCAACAAGTAGAACATGATTGCGGACACCACGGGATATAATCCAGATAATGAAATGCTTCATGACATTCCAGAAGGAGTTTTGGACTACATCGACGACCGATGGCGACTATGAGGTCATCCAAAAATTTAATTATAAATTTGAAGAATACCGAAAATATTTCCGGCTACTGACAGGATACGGGGTAGGTCAGTACATAAGGAATAATGTACGGTGCCAGGCATGCATGCAGGATTTAACACTGGAAAAAAGAGAAGTATGCCCGAGAGTGGGCCGCCATTATGTGGCTAAAAACGAAGATGGCAGCGACATCATGGCCAGCGGCTATTTAAAGCCAGAATTCATCAAGGAAAATGTCAACACACTATTTGAAGAAGTATACCATCTCTTATACCTGATAAACAACAAGCATAGGCCGGATCAAAATATAGGGGCGCGTGCTACGGCAACCATTGTCGACCGAATACCCTCCTTTAAAGAGAAAGGATCCTGCCCAAATGGGGACAAACATAGAAGGGGTCTACTGTCTTACATCATTCAAATAGCCTTGAGCGGAAAGAATTGGAGGAAGCGAGCCGTCCACAACGTCTCGACTTTCACAAACAATAGATAATAGGAATATATTTCATACTGTTATTATAGTTATTTATTTATCTCAGAGCGGGGCTTCATACATACTAACATTGTAAATATAATGCATGATATATTCAGTTCAAATAATGTGATAATAAGTAGATGAAATTGTAAATATAATCCATGATATATTCCGTTCAAATAATGTGACAATGTGATATTTAATGTAATTAATATAATTTTAAAGTAAGTATATAATGGCGTAGGCCTATAGGAGAGCCAGCCATTTCAAACAATTGGCAACGCGCCTATCACGGTACATCATGGGTGGCGTGGAAAACCGTGATAATAATCAAAATAGATTATTTGAACTAGTAATATATAAAATCTGAAGGCTAAATCGAAAATTTCGTTACTCATCCGGTAAATCGCATACAATCAGTTTTCATAAGTTATCGTATATGAAATAAAACATACTTTTTACCAATGTCTTTTATCTTTATCAATTTTAGGTATTCTTAACGATGATTATGTTTGCCGGTTTATTATGTGATATTTAAGTGCATGTATTTCTTTTTGCGACGTCGTGATGTATGTATATTCATTGTGGCAACCGAATCATTATGATTATTGAGAACATTTATATGTGTTTTTTTGCACAGGATGGTTCTGAAATTGTAAATTTTTTTACTAATGGTGATCAAGATTTTCGTCCTAGTAAAATGTTTTATCCTGCATTTTTACATGGTATTGTATCAAGTTTTCAAATGAAAAGAAGTGAGTAAACAAAGTATACATAAAAATTCTTATCATAAAAAGAAACATGTAAAAAAATTATATTTGGTGGTGACCGAATCTTTTGTACCCATTATCGTTATCCTAAAGAAGACAAAAAAAAGCAAAAGAACTAGATTTTCATAGTATACAGTAAGGCGGAGGCGCGGTTGATTTTTTCTATCCAGTTGCGTAAGACGACAGACAGGTGAACAGACGGACATATTTAGATGCATTCGAAAGTTGAAACTGACCAAGCAAGTTATGGGCTCTTTGAAGCTTATATTTGTTATAAAGGTATTGAAGACGAAAAAGTATATGTTGATACACTATTGGATTCCCCAGGATACTGTAAACAAGTATCTGTACGGAACAGAAATATTAAAACCAATTAACAAAGAAAACCTCACCAATAACGAAAATGTTGAGACCATCAGTGCGTATATAACCATAAAAATAACCATTTTTTTACTTTGGAATGCAAATCAACTTTATCTTTTCTTATAAATTATTAGGTTCCGGAATGGATTGCTCTGTCGTACAATGCCAGCGTCAAAATAATTTTATTTAGTACAAACTGTAGATTTTTTTTACCCTCTTGTTGATGATCCAAAACTCATGGGCAAGATAGCTTTAGCCAACGATGTTAGTGACGTTTATGCCATTGGTACAACCGAAATTGATATACGTTTGCATTTACTTTAGATAATCATTTAAAATGATAATATTTTTATGTGTAAGTAGTTACAAAAAAACTATAACCACAGAAAAATAAATACATCCATACATGCAGATGTCTTGCGTTTAAAAACAAACTTATGTACATTACTATACTTTAAACAAAACACTCTAAGAGCGCCAGATTAAAACTTACTGTGAGGACCCAAAGTCGTACCTCGTTTTGGCCTCACGGGTTCTCCGTCTCTGGCTGGGGAGAGGGGGAGTGCTAGAAAGTAAGATAGAATAAGAGTAGGATAGACATAGAATAAGAACAGAATAGGGTAACTTTAGTTTAGTTAACCGAGTCGCAGCGAGACTCTCGATAAGAGTAGTAATCGAAGTAAACGGTCGAATTAAAAAAATTTAAAAAAACCTTTCCATTGTTGCTTGGATACTTCAATAAGTCTTTTTGTAACTCTCCGAGAATTTGCGCATTTAGGACTAAGGTATGCAAGGAACCAAAAGAAACATGAATCTCTGTTTCACATTCTGAAGCATTTTGCAAAGGTTTTCATACTGAACCCCTGTTTCACAAAATTTTCGGATTCAAATTACGTACATTTATTGATTTAGGCCTTACAACGCAAAAGATGGCGATCATCTTGTGCTCACAAAACGCGTTTGCTTGTCTGTCGCTTGTGGGCCTGTTATTCTCATTCTCCCAAACAAAAAATTAAACCTTTTTCAGTTTCAAGCATAAAGTGAAAAAGTAGATATCCCCCAGCGCGTCTCCAACCTCCTGTAGCAAACTAATAATAAAGTTAAAAATATCGATTGTTAAAGACCATTATAACCCACAACTATTCCGTTTGTAACGCCCAAACTTATATATATCCTTAAAAGTTATATACCGATATGTATATGTTACGACATAAAACCAATAATGAAGAAAAGAAAAATTTGCAATCGTATCTATATTTAAAAATTAATTTAAAAACATTTATTAATAATAATAAGATAATTTGTAAAGAAAAAAGAAGAAAAAAAAATTACAACAAACTCTATTATGAAAGAAACACACAAAATCGCAAAAAAAAAAATAAAATAAAATAAACAAAAATATGATGAAAACATTAAAAAGAATCCAGAGGTTCATTGAAGAGCTTTGAAAGGTAAGAAAGGTTTGTTTGTCAACGAGAGTCAAAAACGATTAAGAGCAAATATCATTAAAAAAGAAAAACTATGGCTTTCTTTATTAATTACTATGAAAATGAGTTTTTTGCTTGGCTGACACAATTAAGAAAAATCATATGAAGCTATAGTTGGGCGTCTTGCTTGTTTCATCCGATTACATGAATTTTTTTTTTTAAATTTCTAAACATCTGCAGAATTGTGGAGAAAATTGAATAGGCGTGCGGAGACATGTTTAATGCCGTAAGGAATGTACTCGCATCTTAAATCAATTTTCTGAAATTCATATGATAATTTTCTGGCGTTAGGCATTGAAAATCATCTAAAACGATGTTGACCAACTAATATCACTAACACCACTAGAAGTTCCTTTGAATTTTTTCCGTCATCCATTTTTCTATATTTTTGAGGAACACAATTCTCGGGATGCTTTTTCCAAACATCTTGCAGGACTTAAACAATGAAAATTTGTTTAACACCCAAAGCTAATTTAAATATCCATTGTCTTAGAAGCCAAATTAAAAATTGTAAAGCTCAGAAAGACGCAACGTCGTATCCGAATAAGATTCTGACTCGTTGCTTGCATATGTTGGTTAAAGAAGAAGAATTCAACTATTAAAATTTTATTTGCTGTATAAAAAACAAGAACAGCAAGAACAATTATATGCATCATTGTACATCCAGCCAATAAATGTGTTATTCAAAATTATTTGACAAACAATTATTTAAGGGAGATCTATTAAAAAGTGTAAAAGGAACTGTTGCAAACTGCCGGTTGAAAAAAAAAAACCGACCGGTCTGGAAGCTGCTAATATACAACAATTAGCTCTTGTGCGGCAAATAAGCTGAAGTAAACGTTTATGCTACA